GGAAAACCCTAGTTTTCTCCGTCTCTCTCCTTCCCTTTCTCTCAAATCTTCAAAAAGTCCGAGAATTTGAGAATCTAACCTCGAAAGTTCCTGTCTTTTTCTTCCTCAAGGAATCGAATTATGTACAAGGAACGGAGTGGAGGAGCCGGAGGTGGTGGGTCGTCGAGATCGGAGATACTCAGCGGAGCTATTGATCGGAAACGAATCAACGATGCACTCAACAAGAAGCTAGAGAAATCATCACCTTCAACATCTAGGGTTTTCGTTTCTAAAGACAAAAATCCTCCCTTTTCATTCACATCTACTTCCACTGCTAAATCTCAGCTTCCCGATGGTAATTGCAATTAGAGTTCTTTTGGTAGTTAATTGCATTCCTGAAATTGTATATGTTTTGATTTTTTTTTGTTCTTGCAGTGGAATCTGAAACTGATAGTGAAGGGTCTGATGTGAGTGGATCGGAAGGTGATGATACATCATGGATCTCTTGGTTTTGTAATTTGAGAGGGAATGATTTCTTCTGTGAAGTAGATGAAGATTATATTCAAGATGATTTCAATCTTTGTGGGTTAAGTGGTCAAGTTCCTTACTATGATTATGCACTTGATCTCATTTTAGATGTTGAATCTTCAAACAGTAAGTGTGATTATTCCTTCTTCTCTTTTTTTTTGTGTAAAAGTAGATAGTGAAGTTAGAAACTTTTTTGTTCTGAAAATCTTGTGTACTGTTTTTTGGGGGATTTAGGTGAGATGTTTACTGAAGAACAGAATGAAATGGTGGAATCAGCAGCTGAAATGCTTTATGGTCTTATTCATGTTCGTTACATTTTGACAACTAAAGGAATGGCTGCAATGGTTAGAGTTTCTTTTCTTTACTCTTTGTTTTAGTGCTCTTAATGTCGTAGTTTTGTTTAATGATATTAATCTCTCTGTAGACTGAGAAGTATAAGAACAGTGATTTCGGGAGATGTCCGAGAGTTTTCTGTTGCGGACAGTCTTGTCTTCCGGTTGGACAATCCGACATTCCGAGATCGAGTACTGTGAAAATATACTGCCCAAAATGCGAAGATATATCTTACCCGCGATCTAAATTCCAAGGCAGTATCCTTTTTCTCTGTTCAAAAAACCATTTTTTCGGCTTTATCATTTCAATATAAAGCTAAGCTCTGCTTTTGCTCCAATTGAGATAATCTAATATTTGAACATTTTGCATAGATGCAGCACGACGTGAGTGTTATTGTATCTTAGCGTTTTCCTTAAATGATTTCTGCAGATATTGATGGAGCCTACTTTGGAACCACATTCCCTCACATGTTCTTGATGACTTACGGAAACCTAAAGCCGCAGAAACCGACTCAAACCTACGTTCCAAAAATCTTTGGCTTTAAGGTACACAAACCATGATACTACTGCTCGGCATTCTCAGTGGTGGTGATACACATCTAGTAGCTCGGTTTCTGCATCCGGATGAGCAACTGATTCGATAGCTGCTGTTTGAATGGAGCATACAATCAATGGGTAGAGGATGAGGAACTGAACTTGAAGTTGGAATCTTGAAAAAATCTCAGGAATTTCCAAGAAAACTTATTTGCAACAGCCTGGCTCGTTGGGGGAAAAATGAAGAGAAATTGACGACTCAGAAATATTTTCCCCAGTTAGTTGGATTTTTGTTTTCACTGTTGTTTGTCTACAAATTGCTTCTTAGCTTTTTTTTGTCTCTTATCAATTTTATTATGTAAAACTCAGAAATTGTTCAATTTAAGTTTTCTTCTGATTTGTACAACCTCTGGAACTGAACTGTTATGAAGAGTGCAAGTGTTTGAGCATTTGCGTCTTTAGATTATATAATTCGTGAGAAATGCAACTTAACTCTAATGACCTTTGTTTGGGTCAGTGAAATCAAGATTTTATATAGAAAACCTAAACACTAAATTAATTTGATTTTTTTTAGAAATTAACAAACGGATTTCAGCTTTTGTATAAGCCAATTCGTGAACTAACCTAGTCGGAACATTTCTTAAGATGCTTGTCGAGTTGGTTTCAACTTTTGTACAAGCCAATACGTGAGAACTAACTTCAAATTCAGATCCGTGTAACCAAAAATTCGAGTAAACTTTTAATTGGTCGAGTGAAATTCGGAAATCTACATAAAATCAAGAACAACTCAATTTGACTTTAGACGCAAGAAGAATTTCGATTTGAATTTATAAACCAAAACCAGATGTTTTGGCTGTGATCTAACCTAGTAATGATAATTCTTTTGTTAGATAAGATTACTAGTAAAGGAACTTGAAACAAAACTTAACCATCGATAAACATTGATAAGATAAAACCTGCTTGGCAGCTTAATGTAATAATGTCTTGATTCAAAACCACAAGCATATGTTTAACAAAAACTCAAATGTCAAAACAGAGCACCAAAACATAAAAGCAAACAGATTTAACCCTCAATCTGCTCCCTCAACCTCCTGATTGTGCTTCTGACCGTAACGGCAATCGCGGTGCTGCAAATTTCATCGAGACACACATTTATCAGTAAAACCATTACGAGAAAACAAAAGAACAAATAAGAAACATTTATGAGCAAAACAAGACTTACTTCATTGTGTAAGCACCACCAGCCTTGACCTTGCCACAATCCTTGCATCCCCAGATACCAACTGCCTTTCGCTTCACTCCGAACTACAATCATTCATCAAAATCATCAGAACCAAGATTATTCAATCTGATGTTAAACAAGATATTCAGATATGAACTATTAAGAAAAAGTGAATGATGATAAATTTTACCTTGCCGCAAAACTCACAGAAGTACTTGCTGTGTTGGCTGACCTCCATCTTCTTAATCTGCTTCCTGATACTCGCACCATAACGAGTACCTGACAAATCATACCCAAATTCAAATTCTAATGTTAAAAGACTTCACAACACCAAATCAAGACCAAAAGAAAACAAAGAGCTAGATGATGAATCATTGGCGTCTATCTTAAAATGACAAATCGAATCCAGACAACAATGAACGAGTCTAAGTAAATAAAATGTTGAAAACTACACAAAGCAACTTATTACTAACTCCACAAGACCAAGCAAATTGCAGAAAAACGCCTTCAAAGTTCTGTATCAGATTCCGTAGTTATAGTTTCTACAGCTTTATCATCCTAAACGATTCCCAACAGAGATATTAATTGGACTCAGAAATCTTACCGTACTTCCCGACGATTCCGACCTTCTTCGTTCTCTTCGCCTGTTAAACAATCGACAATCAAATCACAAATCAGATCCAAGAGTGAGGGATAGATTCATAAGAAACAAGTAATCGCAAACCAAATCTGCTCAAATATCAACAATAGAGAGTATATCGAAACATGTATTTCAAAAACGAAAGC